CTTACCTAGATTCTGAGACTTATAGAATTTTTTGAGAGGAAAATTCTTCGAGGTAAGAAAGTAAGAAAAAATTAAAAATTAAAATTTTTAAAACATCTTGAAATTTGACAAAAAATATGGAAAATCGGGTTATAATTTGATTTTATTAGGTTTAAAAAATACCGAATTTCGAATGTCATGATTCTTATATGTGAACAGCAAAGAAAGTAATAAAGCATTTATCCAGAACATTTTTTATTCGATGCATCGGACTAACTACACCGCAAAAAATATTCATGTAAATTTATGCGAGATTAAGCGCACATAAAATTAACGCTAGATTTGGAATAAATTTACGCGATATTACGGGTGTCACTACACGGTGATAAGGAAGTGATACTCAGAATAAGAGCCGTGGTTGTCGTACAAATCAAATGGGAATCACTTCACCGTGACGACAAGTGACAAGTTTTCACCGTGAAGTGACATCCCTTCGTGTAAATTTAAGCTCAATATCGCATAAATTAGCAATATTGTATGCAAGCTTGTAAACGATTTCGCTGTTTATGCCAAGTGTAGCTCAAAGTTGAACGAAAGGAGATTTTACGCGATAGTTAAAGTTCAGAATTTTTTTGTGTGTAATATTCGTAGTTATATATAAAATCAAGATTTAACTTAAATCCTAATCGAAAGAAAAGAGCTTGAATGATCCTGTCCCTGTTTGTAACTAGATAATAATTGAATTTATTTTTTCAAAAGCATTGGGATATTTTTTTTAATTTTAAAGGAAGTTAGTTTTGGTTGAACCCATTCGGTGCCAATTTATTATTAAGAGCTTTTTCAGTGCTTTTTATTTAATCAAAAACAACACAAAAAGGTATGGACTTTTGTATGTGCAATGTCATTCAAACTATCCTGTTGCTAATCTCTAAATTCTTGAAAAAATATCCAAAGAACTTTCTCAGGTAACAAATTGATGCTTAACAAGTGTTCTTTCAACGATTTTAATTCAGGCTTAGTTTGAATAACTGTTGTACATAGACCGCTCTAACCTTTGTTCAGCTTTTAAACATCTAAATCTGGTGATTTTAATCAGCCCAAAGCTTAACAGCAATATAAATTATAAGCTTTTCAAGGCATTAACCAACAGTCTTTTCCAACCTTTGTTCAGCCTTCATTTTTTATTAAAAAAAATATAATGGAAGACCGCTGCTTCTCATATCTTATATTTTTTATGAGACTGCTTTAGAAAACACTAACTGACTAATTGGATTTACATATTTATATTGTTATTATATGTCTAAAAATTACCTTGACATTTCGAGATTCGAACCGGCAGTCGCTGATTCACAGGCGTTAACTATACCCACTCGACCACATAAGCATATTTGAGGCAGAAGCTATGATCATTAACATGAAGCACGTCAAAATTAAGTTGAATAATAGCAACCGGAAGAGTATTATACAGCAATGCAAAATTGTAAACAATACATTTTGACAGTAAAACATTCCTCTCATTTCAAGTGCAGTAAACACAATGTGGACACAAGTGCGTGATGTATTTCGATGCTTTAGTGCTATAATTGAATTCTAGTTTTTAAATGCGGTAAGAAAATTAAGTGCAATATAAAGTGGTGAACAGACAAAACACAGGAATACTAATGTCAATACTTCCGACGTCGTCGCAGTCCACTTCTAGGTGGTGCTATTCTTAAAAAGCTCCTATTCCTTGTCTCTACTGCTGTTGGTGCTTGGGATTAGAAAGGTAGGCAGTTAATTCAGAATAACTAAAATGTCAGAAATGCAATAAATGACACTGACGACATTTAACAATATTGTGCAATAAATTCATATTATTCTATCAGGCTTTCAAAATATTTGTAGCGCATTGCTGGTTTGTGGAGTAGTATTAAGCTTAAATAAGTCTTGGTCCGTCTTTATATCAGCTAACTTACTGAGGTTGAATAACGGGGATACAATTTGCTTCATGCACTACTAATCAACTGTATAGTCAACCTGGTGTTAATCAGATTCGTACACCTTAAATCAACCAATAATCAACTTTTGTTCTTACAATTCAGCTTGAATTGTTACTTGGGTTACTAATATCTTCGTCTATATGGAGATCTTTTGATTATTTCATGTTATCTAGGAATGATGTCTGGAAGAATATACTGTAATTTATGCAACGTTTCCTGAACATTTACAAAACTCCTTTAAGTTTAACGATGTTCCCTGAATTTATTACAAATTCCATGTTCGAAAAAATTTTGTAATTCTGCGAAAATCTCTGAACATCTATGCCCTTCTGAAAAGACACCTATTATCGACAAATATTCTTGAAAATCTGGAAATTTTCTTGAAACTTAACGAAGTTCCCAAAACCTCCTAGAAGTTTATTGTGTTTTTTTTTTAATTCTATGACAAACTGCAACGAAGTTCCCTAAGCTGAAGTGAGTATCCCTGAAGCTCTTAGAAGTTTATTGAACTATTATTTGATCTTCTACAAAATTTCCTGAACTTTTCCATAATTCCTTACACTTCTATGAAGCTTTATGCAGCTCTTCAAAATGCTACCAAATTCGCATAACTTCTACAATGTTTGCTGAACTTCTACGTTTCTCGTTGAATTTCCGTGAAGGTCTACAAAATTTCTAGAATTTGTACGTGATTTCCAGAGCTTTTTCAAGTCCATGAGGCTTCAAAAAAGTGCCCTGAAATAACAAGTTCCTTGATTCTACGACATTTTCTGAAAATCTATGCAGTTTCCAGAATTTCTATTAAGTTTCCTCTATGTCTACGATGTTCCCGAAACCTCTTAGCAGCCCTTGAAGCTTCCCAGAAATTGAAGAAAAATCTCTGGGCTCATGGCCAATTTGTAGAGCCTTACGTCTTCGATTAAATATTGATATAATATTATTTATCAAAATTATGTCTTCTAGTCCAGATATCATAAGAAAATTAGCCAACTTAAAGAACTTTAAAAAAAAATCTTGGTTTGTGGTCCAATTTTATTAATCGCTGTTTAATAACTTCGAACTAGACAAGCTTGACAAAATACCGGCTAGTCAAAAAAAAAACCAAAAAATCTGGGGGGGCTGCGATAATTCTGGACTGGGCCGGGCACCCTTGGCACTACCATTAGCTACACCAATGCCCTGATTTTTTTCCTATAATCATTTTAAAATTTAAGAACAATTAAGACTGTTTCTCTGACTATTTCTGTTTCGTTTGACGATTTTCGTGGTTTTCAGCAAACAGAAGAAATCTTAATAAGAAGATCAAACAATTTTATTAACTCAGAAGTGAAGCACCATTTAGGATGAAAACCTCTTAAATACAGAAACAAAAAAAAATATATATATTTATTGGGTTGGATTGTGTCACGACCGCATGGTTGACGTACACACTTAGTTGTTTTCTACCAAGCTCGGCTGTGCAAATCTCGGCAAAACAAGTTTTACAAATATTTCAGCAAACATTTCATTTGTTTGCTGAGATTTAGCTTAGCATTATCCGAGACTCAGTAATCAAATGTCACTTTTGCTGAGATCTCAGTGAAACTTATTTTTGCCGAGATTTGCACAGCCGAGCTCGGTAAAAAAAAAACTAAGTGTGTAGACTACGTTAGGCTATTAAGTGAAATTCTCGTACATTTTTCTTGATATTGATTAAAAATACAGTAGAAGTAATCTATGATTGCCGTCCTATGTACATATTTTGTATTTCATACGTATCAAATTATCACTTTTTATTTGTATATTTTTCAAAAAAAAAAATTGGACAAGTAAGGGAAATGTCGGCCTAAATGCTCCCAAGTTGGGCCCATACAAAAATTCAGCAATCAACTAAATTTTCAATAGCGACCAAATATATCTATTAGTACCGTCCGAATGACGCGTTCATCTAGATAAAATTGATAAATAGCAGATTTTTAGCGATGGGCCCAATCTAAGAATTAAAGGCCAACATAAGAGATATCTTCCCTAGTTATTTCGTATCGATTGGTGGATTTGGATTTTAGTTTCATCTATAAATGACAAAGTTATAAGGGTTGCCTAACACCTTCTCGTGACGCAATTCTAGATTTTCTATTTACCCTCTGTGCCTTCTCATAAGACGTAGTCGACGTCAAAAATCACATTCACATAGAAACGTCAGCGCGTTGTTCAGGGGCTGACCTAGAAAATCGTCGAAAGAAACAGAAACAGTCAGAGAAACAGATTTAATTGTGCTTAAATTTTAAAAGCATTATAAAAAAAAATTCAGTCTGCGGGTCCAGAAGGTTTTATTTTCCGTCGAGTACGGGGGTTACGGAGGTCGTCTGGTTTATACGTGATCTCGGATCCCCTGTGGGTTGTTCATATTTTATGAACATGGCAATGAGGAAGATCCGAGTTTTACACGGTTGCATTGCCTATATTCGCAGATCAGTCCCTAATAGGAAAAGTTGATATTGAGAAAATTGCAGTAGAAGTAATGAAGTGCATTTATCAGGTAAAGATTGAAAAATTCTAGTAAATATAAAGATAGTTTCTTCTAGTTATAATCAGTTGTACTGAAGCTTGCATGTTTTGTCATGAGAACCCATAGAGCAGAACTTTCACTTTATATCCGAGATAATAAATTTTGAGATGGTGATTACTTTTCATGATGGGGCAAAATAACTTGATGTATTTAGTTTTCATCATTTTCAAGAATAAAGTCAATATAAAAGTAGATGCGATTTGATAGCACATAGTTCAAAATTTGTGAAAATCCACTTGAAACTGATATGCTCTTGTGTACGAAAGTGACCCCGTTGACTTCGGATCACTCCATGACAACATTTGAATAGTGACACGAAGCTAGATCCGGCCAGAAGATCGTAGGGCCCTTGTGTTGCTTCAACAGATGAAGCAGACGCTTCTGTAGACACTCCTTGAGGTAGATCTCCCCGTTTAAAGTCCCAGCGCACTCCGTTTGCCACATGAGCAGATCGCTTGCCAAATCATTTATTTCTTGAAAAACTATGAAAGTTTCTACTTCCTTACTTCCTGCGGAATATCAAACTTGTGCTGGGCGGTGAAGAACAGTAGCCCCGGAAGCTGCCGGAGGTCCGCCTTAACGTAAGTCTTATCATCCATGATGAGACAATGAGGCTTCGTCAGCATCTGGGTGTACAGTTTCAGGGTCAGTGACTTTCCCACCCTATTTTGCCGTTCGTCACGATTTGGAGCCTTCTGCAGTTCGTACGTATGCAGCCTCTGCCGGTCCTTGCTCTCTGAACAAAAGACTTGGACAAATTCAACTTGTTGGCCACATCCCTGACCGAAGCATTGGGATTCGGCTTAAACGCTTTCACGACACGCAGCATAGAACATTTATTCTGACCACATTTCTCCTTCCACGATTCCAAGTTGTTTTCCGATGTCCCAATGAGAGAGTTGAGGATTTTCCAGGTGCATGCGCAAAATCAATTCGCGTCGTTGCTTTTCGGGTGACGGCATTTTTTTCCAACTTTCGAAAAACTGACAGCGATAAAAATACAGTGTAAACAATACACTCTAAACTACTTCTACCCAAATTTACAAGAGAAAATACCCAATGGGTAATTTTCTACACAGCAAAAAATAAATTTGGATATTACAAAGCAGCGTAATGTCAGTTCATGCGCTGTATTAATGATAATTTCGTCCTTTTTGGCATGTAATATTACACCATATTTTTGACACGATTGAAGTGCATCCACTTTGATGTGATATTAAAAATAATCTTTTGCTGTGTACAGCGTTTTTTCCGTGATAAAATCTGATGTGGGAAACCCCTTAGTTAATGTGCATGACAAACAGCTGTTATATTATCAACATCTCTAAAACAGCTGAATTTTGTGGTGCGTATGATTCACATACTGAATTCAGACCACCAAAACCGGTATTATTTTACCGAGATTAGAAACAACTGAAAAAGTCAAATGACTGTTACACGTAAGAAATCAATAAATTTGACAAACGTTATTTTTTGTCATTAAACTGAACAAAGTATGTGCAAATTTAAATTTTTCACAGAATTTGCTTGCTTTTTGCAAACAGTTCCGTAGTTCATAAATTTCCGAACAGCGGAAGCCTGGATTATAACGCATTTAAAAAAATTATCTGCACCACCGGCTGCCAGGTTTTTATTCGCAAACAATTCCATACACACTTTCGTATACTGCTCATCATATATATTTGCTTTTTTTTTTTTTTTTTTATAATGCGTTTATTTTTCCAGGCTCATTTGCCGTAGCTTTGCGGAGCCGATATTCATTGTTTAGATTACAAAGTTTCTTAAAACTAACGTTAGTAAAGCGGGGGCCGATTACTCGCGGCTATCTCGAGGTTAGGGGTAACACATTTTAACAAATGGATGGCAGGGTAGGGATTGAGAACACAAGGTTTGGAGAGCAATGTGCTCTTGATCTCGAACTAAGCGACCAACTGATGAAAAAGACAAACATGGGGGTACACCGATGGGCAGCTAACAACTTGGGGGAACACAAGATGACACTAACTACTAAATCCTCAGATCGATCCGTTTTAAAAACACATAAATTAAATTAAAATATTCGAGATCTCGGCTCGCCAAGATGTCTCTAACGGGCCGCAAAGGTTGTTTTCCTCGGGCCCTGAGGGATGCGGATAACTCGGATCTAGCAACACAATGTAGGGTGCATGACCAAAGCACGTGGTCGATATCGTGATAGCCACTACCACAAGCGCACAAATTGCTGCCTGCGAGCCCGATTCGGAAGAAATGCGAGTCTAACGAGTAGTGATTGGACATGAGCCTTGATATGACCCGTATAAAGTCACGGCTCATGTCCAATCCTTTGAACCATGGCTTGTTCGACACCTGTGGGAGAATAGAATGTAACCATCTTCCCAGATCACTCTCATTCCATTTTTGTTGCCAGTTGGTGAGGACGTGCTGACGGGTAATTGAGAAAAATTCCGCAAAGGCGATTTGTCGATCAAAAATATCGCCTTCCATAGCGCCCACCTTAGCTAGCGAGTCCGCTTTCTCATTACCCGGAATTGAGCAATGAGATGGGACCCAAACTAAGGTGATAGTATAGGAGCAGTTAGATAAAGTACTCAATTTTGCTCGGATTTCGGTAAGGAAATACGAGGAGTGCTTCATTGGCCTCATTGATCGAATAGCCTCCAACGAGCTAAGGCTATCTGTAAAAATAAAATAGTGATCAGATGGTAGTGAGGCAATTTGCTCTACTGCGTAGAATATGGCTGCTAGTTCCGCAACGTATACGGAACAGGGTTTTTGCAGTTGATATGAGGCGCTATGAAATTCGTTGAATACTCCAAATCCAGTGGAAGCGTTTATAGTTGACCCATCTGTGAAAAAACTCTTATTGTTACTGACATGGTGGTACTTGTTTGCAAAAATTAAGGGAACAACCATCGACCGATGGTGATCTGGTATTCCACGGATTTCTTGCAACATGGTCAGATCAAAATTTACAGAGGAACTATAAAAGTCTTGGAGGCAAACACGAGAGGAATTGAATGAAGAAGGGCCAATCTCCAGCGTCATGTACTCGTAATAGAGACTCATGAATCTTGTTTGATGATTTCTGTCGAGCAGCTTCTCAAAGTTTTCTATTACCAATGGGTTCATTACTTCACAACGGATAAGAAACCGGAAGGACAGTTCCGCGAAACGATCTGTCAGTGGGAGAACACCCGCGAGTACTTCGAGGCTCATCGTATGCGTCGAGTGCATACAGCCAAGCGCGATTCGGAGGCAACGGTATTGAACCCGTTGCAGCTTCAAGATATGTGTTTTCGCCGCGGATTGAAAGCAGAAGCTACCGTACTCTAGAACCGACAAGATGGTTGTTCGATATAACCTGATCAGATCTTCCGGGTGTGCTCCCCACCAAGTTCCGGTAATTGTACGAAGAAAATTGATTCTTTGTTGGCATTTTTGTTTCACATACGCAATATGTTTTCCCCACGTGCTTTTGGAATCGAACCAGACACCTAAATACTTGAAAGATATACTTTGAGTGATTGTTCTACCCTTTAGTTGAAGCTGTAACTGTGCAGGATGATGCTTCCTAGAAAAAACAACCAACTCAGTTTTCTCCGGAGAGAATTCGATACCCAGCTTCATAGCCCAAGTAGACAAATTGTCTAAGGTATCTTGCAATGGTCCTTGCAGGTCCGGTGCACTTGGCCCTATAACGGACACAACCCCGTCATCTGCAAGCTGCCTTAGCGAGCAATTTTCATCAAGACAACCATCAATGTCTTTTACATAGAAATTATAAAGAAGGGGGCTTAAACATGAACCCTGGGGGAGACCCATGTAACTAATTCGTGAAGTTGTCGAGTTTCCATGAGAAAAGCTCATATATTTCTCAGACAACAAGTTGCTCAAATAGTTGTTCATAATTGGTGAAAGCCCACTATCGTGGAGTTTATCCGAAAGGACATCGATACAAACAGAATCAAAAGCCCCCTTAATATCCAAGAAAACTGAACCCATTTGCTGTTTTTGCGCATAGGCCAGTTGAATTTCAGTTGAAAGCAACGCAAGACAGTCGCTCGTTCCTTTGCCTCTCCGAAATCCAAATTGCGTATCTGAAAGTAAACCATTCGACTCGACCCATTTGTCTAGACGAAAAAGAATCATTTTCTCCAACAATTTCCGTATACATGACAACATCGCGATGGGACGGTACGAGTTATAATCCGACGCGGGTTTACCGGGTTTTCGAATGGCGATAACTCTTACTTGCCTCCAGTCATCCGGAACAATGTTGTGCTCCAGAAATTGATTGAATAAGTTCAACAAGCGTCTCTTCGCGACGTCTGGGAGATTTTTAAGCAAGTTGAACTTGATTCTATCCATTCCTGGAGCTGAATTGTTACATGAAAGGAGAGCAAGTGAGAATTCCACCATCGAAAACGGGGAATCTATTTCGTTATTACCCGACGGACGATCACGAACGTTGGTTTGAACCGACACCGAATCCGGGCAAACTTTCCGCGCGAAGCTGAATATCCAACTGTCCGAGTACTCCTTGTCTTCGTTAATCGGTGATGACGCGTTTCGCATTCTCCTGCCGACATTCCAGAGTGTTCTCATGGAAGTCTCTCGCGACAAACCATCGACGAACCGACGCCAGTAGCCGCGTTTTTTGGCTTTCGTCAAGCCCTTAAAGGTTTTCTCGAGGTCGGTGTATCGCTCGAAATCCTCGACCTTACCGTGTTTGCGGAAGCGTTTAAACGCGGCAGACTTCTCGCTGTTCGCGTCGGTGCATTCCTTATCCCACCACGGGGTGGGAGGTCGCTTCCGAACGGAAACACCCGGAATACGTTTCGTCTGTGCTCGCAGCGCGCAATCGATGATGACACGCGCGAGAAAGGAGTACTCGTCCAGCGGAGGAAGTACGTCAACCGATTGACTGGCATCAAGAACCGAGGTCGCGAATTTTCGCCAGTCAATGTTTTTCGTAAGATCGTACGCGATGTCGACCGAGCGTGTAGAAGATGAACCATTGGTAATAGAAATTTTGATTGGCAAATGGTCACTACCGTAGGGATCTTGAATTACTTTCCACGAGCAATCCAATGATAGTGAACTCGAACAAAGTGAGAGGTCTAATCTGCTTATTTTTGCTGGAGGTTTGGCTACTCGTGTTGCTTCCCCGGTGTTCAGAATTGTCATTTTGAAGAAGTCGCACATGTCGTATATCAAGGTTGAGCGGTTGTCGTCGTACAGTTCCCCCCAGCCTGTACCGTGAGAGTTAAAATCTCCCAAGATCAACCGTGGCTCCGGCATAGCCGTGCAGATATCCGAGAAACTTTGACGAGAAATCGCAGTTCGCGGCGGAAGATATACTGAGGCAATACTGAGGCATTTACCTCGAATATTAACCTGACAGGCAACAACTTCAATGCCTGTCACCGAAGGCAGATCGATTCTGTAGAAGGAATGGAGCTTGTTGATCCCCAGAAGCACCCCTCCATACGAATCTGCCCGATCAAGGCGAATAATGTTGAAATCGTGGAAAGCAAGATCGTTGTCTGAAGAGAGCCATGTTTCACAAAGGGCAAATGCATCAGAAAGTAAATTGTTAACTAAAAATTTAAATGTGTCAAGTTTTGGCATAAGACTTCTACAGTTCCACTGAAGAACAGAGATCATATCCCCGACCTCATTCGGAGAATTATCCATCAAAGGATATGATCGATGCAAGGAAGGACCACCTAGAAG